GTTGACTACTTTCAGACCTTCTCCCCGATCCCGAAGATGACCACTCTTCGGGTTCTGCTGTACGTTGCTGCCCAGCGTGACTACGAGCTTCACTCCCTTGACTTCAGCACTGCTTTCCTACAGGGCAGTCTGCACGAGGAGATCTGGCTGCGCCGCCCACCTGGCTTCACTGGGTCGTTTCCTCCTGGTACCCAGTGGAGCCTCCGGCGGCCAGTCTACGGTCTCCGCCAGGCGCCACGTGAGTGGCACGACACACTGAGGACTACACTTGCGGCTCTTGGGTTTGCTCCTTCCACTGCTGACCCGTCGCTGTTTCTTCGCACCGACACTTTGCTGCCGCCGTTCTACATCCTCGTGTACGTCGACGACTTGGTCTTTGCTACGGCTGACACTGCTGGACTCACCCACGTGAAGTCCGAGCTGCAGAAGAGACACACGTGCACAGATCTGGGTGAACTGCGCAGCTATCTTGGCTTGCAGATCACCCGGGACAGAGCACGGCGCACCATTACCTTGACTCAGTCACACATGGTGCAGCAGGTCCTTCAGCGCTTCGACTTCACGTACTCCTCGCCTCAGGCCACTCCTCTGTCTACTCGCCACTCGCTCTCAGCTCTGCCTTCGGATGAGTCCGTAGAGCCGAGTGGCCCGTACCCAGAGCTTGTTGGCTGCCTCATGTACCTGATGACCTGCACTCGACCTGACCTAGCATACCCTCTGAGCATCCTGGCACGCTATGTTGCTCCTGGGAGACACCGACCAGAGCACATGGCTGCAGCGAAGAGGGTGTTGCGCTACTTGTGCAGTACTTCAGGCGTGGGGCTAGTGCTTGGAGGGCGGAGTCCAGTAGTTCTCACTGGTCACGCAGACGCGTCTTGGGTTGACGACCTGGCTACTCAGCGGTCGTCACAGGGTTACACCTTCAGCCTTGGTTTCGGCTCTGTTTCGTGGCGGTCTACTCGCTCGTCTTCTGTTCTCAGCTCCAGCTGTGAGGCTGAGATCTACGCAGGGGCCATGGCTACACAGGAGTTACGCTGGCTCACCTACTTGCTGACTGACCTCGGAGAGCCGCCTCGTTCTCCTCCAGTTCTGTACGTAGACAACAAGGCCATGCTGGCCTTGTGTCAGGAGCACAGACTGGAGCACAGAACGAAGCACATTGCTCTTCGCTACTTCCTTCCTCGTGAGCTGCAGCAGCGTGGTCAGCTGCACCTTGCTTACGTGGCCTCTCAGGCCAACACTGCTGATATCTTTACCAAGGCACTTCAGCCTTGTGATCATCAGCGCTTCTGTACTATGCTAGGTCTTGTGCCTACTTGGCCTCACTTGCTTACCTCTTGACTTTGCTTGTACTGTGATCTCTATATACCTGCACTTGCTTGTTTACTTTTATATATGAACTTGCATGTGAACTGGCCTTGTGGCCTTTGAACCTGTGCTCAGACTGTGTGGTGACTTTGTGATCCACCCTGAGCTTGCTTTGCTTTGCTTTGCTTGACTGGTCTTGTGACCCCTAGTTCTCCCCCACTTTGCCTATGGGGGTGTGTCAGATATATATGCCTTAGCACATGTAGGCTGTAGTGGGGCAGACTCTAAGGGGTACAGGTTTCTTATTTGTACCAAACTCATTCATAGTTCATTCATTCCTGTTTCTTTCTTCACACCCCGCTGCACAGCTCCGCCTCTACCAGCTCCACCTCCGCCGCCGCCGCCTCCGCCTCCTCCACCCCAACCGCCACCGCCACCGCCGCCTCCACCTCCACCGCTGCCACCGAAGCCCCCACCTCTGCCACCACCCCCACCCCCACCCCCTCCTCTGCCTCCACCGCCACTACCGCCTCCCCCACCACCTCCTCCAGCGCCCTTGCCCCGCTTGCCCTTGCTGTTGCGGCTCCTCTCACTAGGAGCAGACGCAGCGCTGACCGACTCGGTGCCAACAAGGTCGACAGCAGCAGCAGAGGCAACGGAGGGCAAAAGAGGAACGGGGGAGCACCCCTCAAAGAAAGTGGTACGGGGGTCACCACGAGAGGCTCCTACAGCGGTAATGCTAGTCTTTGCTGCAAGGAGGCGCTCCTCGAGGAGGTCAACGGTGAGGGTGGTAGGGCAAAGAGAGAGGAAGTGGTCCCTGACCGAGCGGCGTCCGGGAGTCGGGTGACTAGGTAGTAGAGGGTGATGTACATGGGGGGGGGGGGGTTCTTTGTGCAGAACTCAGCAGGGAGTGCAGCGCGGTAGCGAGTGTCACTAGTGCGGAGGTGCGTAATGAGGTCAGTGACTGTGGCAAAAGCGGCGAGGTCAGGGAACAGGTACGGTAGCATGAGGTGGCTAAGCGCAGCAGTGGCAGGGGAAGAGTAGCGTGCAAATACAGCGTCGTACAGAGTCTTAGCACTCTTGTACTGACTAAAGTGCGCGCGCTCAGTAGACGGTAGGTGACTACGCACAGCAAGGCGGGCAGCAGCATCGCGCGTGAGCCACTGCGAGCGAACAGTACTGTCAGCATCAGCAGCAGGGGCAGTAGAGGCGCCAGACGTGAGATCGAACAGTGAGAGACCATCCTTGCTATCGCACTGTAGGAAAAGCTGCAGATCATCTAGCCAGACACCGAAGTCAACCGCTCGACCCTCAGCATCAAAGGTAAGAACACTAGGACTAGCCATGATAGGAGCAGCAGCAGGCTAGCAGCAGCAGCAGTGCAACTCGGCTAAGCGACGCGGCTAAGCAGGGCAGCGCGGCTCGGCAGGGCGGCTCGGCAGGGCGGCTCGGCAGAGCGGTGCGGCTCGGCAGCGCGACTCGGCCCGGCGATGCTCTTACCAGGGGCTAGGCCGGGGCAGGGCCGGGGGAGGGTCGGGGCAGGGTTGCAACAGGTCCGGGGCAGGGCCGTGGCCGGGCCGCGACAGGTCCGGGGCAGGGCCGGGGCCGGGCCGCGGCAGTGCAGGAGCAGGGCCGGGGCAGAGTCGGGGCAGGGCCGGGGCAGGGCCGGGACAGGGCCGGGGCGAGGGCCGGGGCAGGGCTGCAACAGGGCCGGAGCAGGGCCGGGGCAGAGCTGCGACAGGGCCGCAACAGGGCCGGCGCAGGGCCACGACAGGTCGGGGCAGGGCTGCGACAGGGCCGGGGCAGGGCCGGAATAGGGCCGCGACAGGGCCGGAGGAGGGCCGGGGCTGGGTCGCAGCAGGGCCGCGACAGGGCCGCGACAGGGTCGGGGCAGGGCCGTGACAGGTCCGGGATAGGGGCGGCGCCGGACGACGGGGCAGGGCCGAGACGAGGGGCCCGCGACGGGGGGGGGGGGGGGGGGGGGGGGGCGCGACAGGGGCCGTGGAGGGCCGGGCCGGGACGACGGGGCACCAGGCGACGGGGCGCCGGGCCGGGCCGCGACGCGGCGGCTTTGGGGGCCGGCGCTGGCTCTAAGGGCAGGCGCAGGGGCCGCTACGGGCCGTGAAGGGGCCGCTACGGGCCGCAAAGGGGCCTCGACGGGCCGTGAAAGGGGCCGCTACGGGCCGCAAAGGGGCCTCTACGGGCCGTGAAAGGGGGGCCACTACGGGCCGCGAAGGGGCCTCGAAGGGCAGGCGCGACGCGCGCGTCGGGCAGGTAGGAAAAACAAAATTTTTAATTTTAGTGGTGGGCCCTTAGGAAAAATCGAACTAGCTCTATACCATGTGAAGAAACAGGAATGAGTGACTAAGAAATGAGTTGGGTACAAATAGAAAACCCTAACAAACTGTACCCCATAGTGTCTACCCCACTACAGCCTAAACAGGCTATGTGATTAATGTTTGACAGGGGGGAGGGGCCAACCTTCTCTGGGCGGCGTTTTGTCCACCAACAGCAACTACGTCCGTGCCAAAACAAACGTGGTCGTGACGGCTCTGCTTGAGGCGATGCTGATCAACCGTGCATGCTTCAAGCACGATGAACCGAAGGGTTTGGTGCTGGATTCTGGGAAAGTGAGGGTTTTGATTGAAGGATGAAGCGTGTGTTCTGCCCTGGTCTTCTGTAGGTGTAGTGTCTAATTGTAGCCATCGTTTTGTACTGTTTGCTAATTAATGAAAATACAGTTTACAATAAAAATTAATGTCTATGAGGATATACAAACATCTGGTTTATATCGACTGGTAAACAACAAAAGTCTGTTACAAGCGTATGATAACCATGTAACCATATTCATTTCTGACTGGTGTTACAATTCATGTTACAAAGTTCCAAAATTTGTCTGAGTTATTTAATATACGGGTTTAATAATTACCGAATACACTACATGTAACAAAGTCATAACTGTTACGCACTGGTAACATACCCCGTTCTTCAAATTTCGCCCTCGACTGTTAACGTGATGGTTAATCGCGAGCAACACTGGTTTATGAGCCGCATGTTGCTGTAAACGACCCTGGGTATCAACCCTAAAAAATCCTACCCCCAGTTTACGTCTCGATACTTACCCAGTCGTAAATGGGAACCCTAAACAACAAATTCGCAATGAATCGCAATGGCCACCCGATCACTATAGCGGAACAATCGTGGGTAAACGCCGATATCAACCCCCATCCGTTTTCTACCCACAAATCGCAATACCCCTAGTCGTTTATGTCCGTGTATAGAAATCACAATCTGCACGTCATACACGACAGACACGAGGCCGTTTACCACCCAAAACGGCCTCCACATCTTTCTGATGAGGCTCTAGAGGCAGCGCAATAGTATTACTAGTACTACTCGTGCCACATCACTGGCGCGGCTTTGTGCTCTCAGCTTGGCAGCTTCTGTGATTCTCGTTCTCCTATGCAAGAGTGGCAAGTCCACCTTTTCCCACCATCATACTCCCTCGATCCCCCTCATCATCCCTTTGCCTGGCTTGCTCCCGCATTCCTTCCGCCTCGCTAAAGCATTCTCATGCATCGTGCCGCAGCAACTGCACTTCATGTATGCACCACAGTACTCTCAATACTTTCGATCTCTCGGAGATATCATGACTCATGTCTGACGGGCTGTCATTATTGGCGTGTGTGCAGGTTTAGAAGCGGTGCGCCTGACGCCCACCACTCGCACCACCGCCACTCCTGACAATGCCACCGCTAGTGGCAGCAACGCCGCTACCAACAAGACTGCTAGCAGTAGTGCTCCCAAGGTGAGCTTGCCTGCATGCTCAAGGCGCGTGCGCATGCCCTGTGATCCCAAGGCGCGTGAGCATGCCCTGTGATCCCAAGGCGCGTGCGCATGCCCTGTGATCCCAAGGCGCGTGCGCATGCCCTGCAATCCCAAGGCGCGTGCGCATGCTCTGTGATCGCAAGGCGCGTGCGCATGCCCTGTGATCCCGCTGAAGCGCTCTCATTGTGGGAAGGGGGGACGTGACGCATGGCACCACCCGCGGGCTCCTTCTTAAGGAGAATCACTCCTGAACTCGAAGCTTGTCGAATGGATTCAAGCATATATCTCTGCACTCATCCACTCATCCGCTCATCTGCTCATGGGCTCACCGGCTCATGGGCTCACCGGCTCAACTGTGTGTAGCCCAGCCCATCACGTGGAGCTCTGTGCTCAGCATCACCTGACCGGCCTGGATATTTTTGCTGACCGGCCTGATTGTTTATGCTGATTGGCCTGGTTGTTTGTGCTGACTGGCCTGGATGTTTGTGCTGACCAGCTTGGTTGTTTGTGCTGACCGGCCTGGTTGTTTGTGCTGATCGGCTTGGTTGTTTGTGCTGACCAGCTTGGTTGTTTGTGCTGACCGGCCTAGATGTTTGTGCTTTTCAAGTGGCACCTACATCATAACACCCTTGCCGCTGCCTTTTTCTACTACAGGCGGGCAAGAAGTTTCATTTCACATTATGGCTGCTTGATACTGATTGGGGCAACAGGGATACGCCGAGTGGGGGGGATACCATTGGTACGTCTCTTTCTCTCTCCCTCGCACTCCCTCGCTCTCTTATCTCTCTCCCTCACACTCCCTCGCTCCCTTATCTCTCCCCCTCCTCTCGCAGTGTCTTGTTTCTTTGTGTATTCCAATACTCGCAGTGTTGGGCAGCCAGGGATTTGTTCCTTTCCTGGCAAGAAGGCTCCTGCTCCCTCCATCCCCCTCTCCTCTCTTCCTTTCACCTCTCTTCCTCACTTCTCATCTCTTTCCTCACTGGACTCTTTCTCTTGTCGTGTCCGCTTCGCTTTGTGTACTCTTATCCCCAACCACAGTGTTTGAGAATGTCGGTTTCATTCCCGCTAAGTATTTCGTACAGTTTGATTACCAAAGAGCCTTTTTCGACTGCAACTACAGGGCAGTACAACTTATGAAAACATTTAATGGTTTCAGCGAGAAATACGAGTGCGTACCTTTGTCTACCTCTTTTTACAGTTGTCTTTGCCTATTCATTTACCCCATCTTCGGGGAAAATGTATTTGCTGATGCGTGTAGAACTAATCATATTGTCTTGCAGGTACACCGTGCCATACTATACTAAAGGCGGTCACCTGTACTTTGGCTCGAGCCCTTGGCTGTGCAAAAATTTGGGTATTAAGGTTAAGATTCCTATGAAATCTTACACATCATGACACAAGTCAAGTCATGGTACGGTATTACCTTGGTGCAAAAATGCCTTCTTCTCTTCTCTGGTACAAGACTCCTGTTGGGCCATACTCACTTGGTGGCGGCTATGTTGAGGTGCCCATGGCACAAAGCAAGCACTGGTTGGTCGGTACTGAAATGTTGTCTTCTCTCTCTTGTCTGCAGATGTGAGTAATAATAAGGTGCTGTTACATTAGAATTTGTCCCACTGTATTCCTAGTGTGTCTTTCTCTTGTGAATACTGGATATCTGAAGCCACTCAAATGATGTATGGTACACCGTGGTTATCTAAAGACGTTTATCATTGAGATTACATAGACGCTAGGGGGTCATATCAGACTAGGGTTGGTGATCTATCTTCAGTCTGCCCTATGTGCCCTGGCTAGGGGTAACCTTTATTACACGCCGTATGAGGAAGTATCTGTTTGGCCTATATTTAGGAATGCTTATGGTACCTCTGATTTCAGTGTTATAATGGCCAATAGTTCTCATTGGCATTGCAATCAACTCAGCTAGTCAGACCAGAACTTTACAACAATATTGAGTGACTTCGGTCTCTACGTCCTCCACACTGACCACTCCCCGGTGTCCACGTCACCTCAGGTCGATGCGTCCCCCCAGGTTCCTGCGCCTCCGCCGGTTGTCGAGTCCAGTCAGATAGCTACGTCCCCTCCGGTTGTCTGGTCTGGTTAGGTTGCTGCGTCTTGCTCGTGTCGGACTTTCACCCACCGGACCGTCCTGTGGCACCACTGTCTTGGCCACCCGTGGATCCCTCGCCTCCGCACTATGGCTAGTCACCGTCTTGTCTCAGGTCTTCCTTGCGTCTTCATGTTGCTCCCTCCCTCTCCTGCACCCTGTGCACTCCTTGCGTCGCCGGCTGTCTTCGTGCCGCTCTGCACTCCTCCTCTCTTCGTCCGGCCACTGCTCCCTTCCAGACACTCCACTTGGATGTCTGGGGCCCTGCTCCTACGCAGGGACCTGCGAGGGAGTGCTACTTTCTGGTGGTTGTCGACCACTTCTCCAGGTACACCACAGTGTTTGTTCCCGTGAATAAGCCCGAGGTGACTTCTACACTGATCCGATGGCTTCTAGCCACTGAGGGCACTCGTGCCATCGTGTCTCCTGTCTACAGTCCTGGACGCTGCCGGAGTCCCCACAGAAGAATAGGGTTGCTGAGCGCAGACAAAATATTATAGTGCTTACATCTGTATAGGCTATCGTGGGTTAGCCCATAAGGGGTACAACCCAATTAGGGTTAGTACTTGTACCCAACTGTTTCATAGTTCATTCATTCTTGTTCGTTATTCTGACATGGTTTCACAGCAGGTCCTTCGTTAGGACCGTTTTTTTTTTTGGGCCCACCACAGCGCTGCCCCACTAGCCGCCCCTAGCGACCCTCATGCCGCACCTACTGCCCCTCGCGCCACCCTCGTGCGGCCTGCCCGTTGCCCCTAGGCCCCGGACCGACGCTGTAGTCGCCCGTTACTCCTCGCCTGCCACTGCTGCTCTAGGCCGTCTTCTACTGCCCTACCTGTTCCCCGAGCTGTCCGCCTTTGCCACGGTAGAGGACCTGGTTTCCCACCTTCGCACTAGCGTCGCTCGCTACCGTAGTGCCGCCCCAGCTGAGTTCCTTGACAGGAACCAGCCCCTGATGTTCATCACTCTCTAATTTATAGTCACCCGCCTCCCTGACTCTCTTCGCTGTATGAGGGACCACTTTCTCTCCCTTGACCCCACAACCCTCACTGTTGACCTACTCGAGCAGCACCTCCTTGCAGCTGAGACTAGTGTAGTCACTGTAGGTGCTGCTCGTGCCACTCCGTGCACGCCCTTCTTTGAGGGGTGCTCCCCCCCCCCCCTTGCCCCCTCCTACGCCTCTGCTGCTGCTGTTGACGTCCTTGGTGCTGAGGATGTCAGGGCTGCTTCGGCTAGTGCGAAGCGCCGCAGCAGCAAGGGCAAGGGTGGCAGGGGTGGTGGTGGTGGCAGCGGGGATGGTGGAGGGGGCAGCAGTGGAGGTGGTGGAGGCAGTGGAGGCGGTGGCAGTAGTGGGAGTAGTGGCGGGAGTGGGGGCTTTGGTGGAGTCGGTGGTGGCAGCGGTGGGGGTGGCGGTAGTGGCGGCAATGGGAGTGGTGGCGCTAGGGCTGGAGCTACTCAGCGTGGAGGTTTGGGAGGTGGCCAGTGGCAGCAGCAGCAGCGTCGGAGCGAGACCCCGTCGCCTCAGCAGCTTCGTGAGTGGTTTTCTCAGCGTGGGGCGTCTGGGGGTAGTGGTAGCTGCCCATATGTCATTCGCACGGGTGACCGTGCTGGTCAGACATGCGGGAAGCCTCACACTCAGCACCGCTGCTTCTCCCGCCTGGACGACGCTTGGCGCGCAGAGTTTGGTGACGAGGCCGAGCGCCCCTGCTGGGCAGAGCTGCTTAAGTCTGGAGTAGCTATCTTTGACCTAGACTATGATGCTATCCTTGCTGCTATGTATGCTTTGTCTGTTAGTGCTGTGGGTGACTGTTACCTGTATGTGCCGCCTGACCCAGGTATAGAGGCTGCTGCTGTAGGTGCTAGTGAGTCTGTTCTCCCTAGTATTGCGCCTCCTGAGGCCTTGCACACCTTCACACTTGACTCAGGTGCCTCACGCTGTTTCTTTCGCGACAGCACCACCCTCATTCCTCTCTCTGCACCGGTACCGGTCAGGCTGGCTGACCCCTCGGGGGGCCCAGTCCTTGCCCGTTCCTCCACTTTGCTCCCGTGTCCAGCGGTTCCGTCCGGCTCACTGTCACGTCTTCACCTCCCCTCGTTCTCTACGAACTTGGTGAGTACCACTGCCCTCCAATATGCGATGGTCACTACCACCACTCCTGGGGGTCAGCGTGTGTCGATTTGCACGTGTACACGGACGGGCCGTCACTTGGCCACGTTCACTCGTCGGCCAGGGTCGAGGCTGTATACACTGGCTACCGAGCCTCCTCTGGTAGCTGCGTTTGCTTAGGTGTCCGCGTCAGGTCAGGTAGCACCCCCTTACTCATGTCGCCTCCTCTCGCACCAGACTCTCCTGTGGCACCACCGCCTTGGTCACCCCTCCCTTCCATGCCTTCGTGGCATGCACTCCCGCCTCCTTATCTCTGGTCTTCCCAGGTCGCTGCCTCCCCTCCCGCCCTCGCCCGCCCCACCCTGCCTTCCTTGCGACGAGGGGCGGTAGCGCGTCGTTCCTCACTCCTCCTCGTTTCCCATGACGACTGCTCCCTTGCAGACTCTCCACATGGACGTGTGGGGCCCAGCTCGCGTCACAGGACAGGGCCGTGAGCGCTACTTTTTGCTGGTTGTTGACGACTACACGCGGTGTACCACGGTCTTCCCCTTGCGCAGCAAGGGTCAAGTCGTTGATGTTATGATCCCTTGGATCCGCGCAGTTCGTCTCCAGCTCCGCGAGCGGTTCCGCCAGGACCTTCTTGTCCTACGTTTGCACTCTGACAGAGGTGGTGAGTTTTGCTCCGACCTCTTGCGGGACTTTTGTCGTGGGGAGGGCATTCTCCAGTCGTTCACGCTTCCGGACTCCCCTCAGCAAAATGGGATTGCTGAGCGCCGCATTGGCTTAGTCATGGAGGTCGCTCGTATCTCCATGATCCATGCGACTGCTCCCTATTTTCTGTGGCCGTTTGCGGTCCGGTACGCTGCGCATCAGCTCAACCTCTGGCCCCGTGTCTCCTTGCCCGAGACCTCGCCTAAACTGCGTTGGACAGGGGAGGTTGGGGATGCGTCGGTGTTCCGGGTCTGGGGCTCTCGTGCCTTTGTTCGCGATACGTCCGCAAACAAGCTCTCCGCCCGCGCTATTCCCAGCGTCTTCCTTGGCTTTTCCCCTGACGCGCCTGGCTGGTAGTTTTACCACCCCACCTCGCGCCGTGTCTTCCCCTCTCAGGACGTCACGTTTGACGAGTCCGTTTCCTTAACCATCTCTTCCCTTACCGCTCTGCCCCTCCCCCATCCCCGCCGCTCTTCCTTGCTCCATGTCCCCCTCGGTTAGACCCCCTCCCCCCCAAGGGTCCTGCTCCCTCAGGTTTGTCTCAGGTAGACCCTCTCCCTGGTACTGCGCCTGTTGAGGTAGCTGTCGGCTCAGGTGCTACTCGAGGTGCTGCGTGTGGGGGTGTTGCTTCTGGGGGTGCGGAGCATGGGGGTGCTGAGCCTGGGGGTGCGGAGCCTGGGGGTGCTGAGCCTGCGGGAGTAGAGCCTAGGGGTGCTGAGCCGGAGGGTGTGGAGCCTGGGGGTGCTGATTCTAAAAGTGCGGAGTCTGGGGGTGCTGAACCGAGGGATAGTGCATCTTCTGGAGGTCCTACGGTTGCTTCCCCACGACTGTCTCCCCGGCAGGAGCCTCTCTCCCCGCAGCAGCTGCGCGAATGGTTTGCTCAGCGCACCCGCCTTCGGAGTGGAGCTGCTGGAGCTGGAGACTCTGCCGCTGGAGACACTGGAGGTGGAGGTGCTGGAGTTACTACTGGAGCTGGTGGTACTGGAGGTGCTGCAGCTGCTTGTCTTGGAGGTGCTCGTACCAGAGGTACTGGAGCTGTCGGGACTGGTGGTGTTGGGGGAGCTAGAGCTGGAGACCCTACGGAGCCTGGAGCTGCTGGGGCTGGAGGAGCTGGATCTGTTGGCGCTAGAGCTAGAGGCATTGGCGCGGGAGGCGCTAAAGCTGGAGGAGCTGGAGCTGTCGACCCTGGAGCTGAAGGTGGTGGAGGCACTGTGCGACCGCGATCGTACTTTGTTCCCCTGCTTCA